ACTAAACTCGCGACTCTCCGCCCTTTCTTCTGCATTATGTAGGGTATAATTACAATTGATGGCACGAAGGCCACCTCGCCGGCCGTTTCTGAAAGAATTAATATCACTTACGTACGACAGTCTTATCTCTTTAATTAGAAAAACGTCTTAATGTATTCAGAAATTTTCTGTGAATTTATTTTCGTTCCGAAATTCTTTTTGAATTGTTTCTATCCTTAACTTAATTTCGAGAGTAGCTCATTAATCTTTATTATTTACTTAGATTCTGTGAATTGAGTTTTAATAACGCCACGATCTATGATAACATAAAAAATTGCTTTTCTTTTATAACTTTTAATACAGTAATTGACTTATAATTTTTAAAAGTAAATTTTAAAATAAAATTTAAAAATTTTTAAAAGTAGGTAAATATAATTTTTAAAAGATTATATTAAAAGATTTTCTCTTTACAAATATTAAGAACGCTATTAAATGCTTAATTAAAAGGGAGCAGGTTCTCAATTCGACCGCATTTTTTCTTTTTTTGTCTATGTTACCCGATTACTCCCACACTTGTGAACCGATTTCGATGATTATTATTTTTTTTTGGAAAGGGGGTACATCCATAATAGTAATTCCATTTAAATTTGAAGAAAATATTCTACCTCTAAAGGCGCGTTCCCACTATGTCATGACGACAGTTTGTCGTGCAATTTACAGTGTCGTGGCTTGTATATTTAAATGAAGTTGTTCACATATAGCACGACATGATTAACTGTCGTTCACGATTTTTTATCGTTACAACGACAAACTGTCGTCACAGTAGGAACAGCTAGAACGACAGGCGTCTGACGTAAAAAAACGTCACGATAAAAACGTGAGGACAGATTGTCGCAGCTTCTATTGTCGTCACGTTTTATTTATCGCTGTCCGCATGTATTCTGCTCCCTGCCCTTCCCTCTCGTACCCCGCGCCCTCTGCTCGCTTTGCAGTAGCATTGGGTCGTAGCCAGAGATGGGCAAGCGCCCGGATTTTAACCCGGTAGTTTGTCAACGCCGGGTTTAAATCGGCTTTAAACCCGAAATCGAGGGCAAAAACTATTTACGTCTAAATATTTATTGTAAATTGAGTTTCTTCGCGATCTTCATTGAGAATCCACAGCATTTAAAAAAATATATATATTATTAAAATTTCGTCTTCATCCATTTCGAGCGAACACACACCGGCTTCCAAAAGAACATACAAGCGACTGCAGTGCATCAAAAGATTCTGTCGTGCAAACGACAAGGAGGCTGTCGTGAAACGATAAATTATCGTCACGATCTAGTGGGAACAGCTAGTCACAACAGTCGTTCAACGATAAAAAATCGTCTACGACAGATAGTTGTGATATGGGAACAGGCTAGACACGACAGTCGTCCAACGATAATAAAACGTGACGACATAGTGGGAACGCGCCCTAATAGTGGCTAATTACAGGATGAATCCAATTTATTGGATTTCATTCATTTTTCATTACCGATTTCAATAAATCGTGGCAAATAGATGTTATTCCACAAATTTTTGAGGTTGGTTTTTTAAAAAATATTATAGTTTCTGATATTGAATTGTAAAAAAGAGTTTCCTAGTTCTCACCTATGAATCGGAGTCCTTCCACATTTCCATTTGCTTGATGGACTTCTGTGGCGCTGACAAAGACAGACAGGAAGCCTAAACCCAGGCCACAGCTCAGGATAGTGCTTAGTACTCCACTTACTACAAAGATCTGGAAAAAATAACTACCTTACTAATTTTCCCGATTTTCAATCCCAAAAATATTCAAATGACAAGCAATTTTGGGACTTATATTTCATTTTGAAGTTGTTCAGTTCTTGAATAAGGTTACCATCATACTTATTAACGCTGTACCGCTCGGGTTGAGCCGGATAAATAAATATCACGAAAAAGCAGTTGCACGTTTGGCTTCCGCTCGGAGCGCCACTTACGCGAAACGCACAGTGTCATTTTGGCTATTATTGCATAAATATAAGGCTTTTTTTTTATCGGCTTAATGTATTTACGTGTTGACCAGTGTGGTGAGTATATTAGATAATTTAGCGACTATCTAGACTAAGGCGCTCACTACGAGGAAAAAGGAACATCAGCTCGTGGTCAGAGCGGTGAAAATCGTTGCCCGCCGTGTGCAGTCGTGCGGAGCCGAATGCTGATAAATGTAAGACTTGTATGAGCGCTTGTGCCGACATCGGTACACTCAGCGGTAGGCACTTGTCGCATAACTTTGAGCGAGTGATGGAGCCCCTGTTTTTTAGATTTTTTATGTATTCTTGACGAGCTATGGCAAAATAGCTCTTATGGCTATGTACCCTACAGTCCTCTGTAATTGTGTAGTACTTTTTTGCTAGATTAGTGCCAACAAAGTGTTGTATAAGTTAGAAACTTAATGGGTAACATTTTAAAACCAAATAGCAAACAAGCAAACTAGAAAGTCACGGGTTCAATTCCCGGTAGGACCAATTTGGGAAACGTTTCTAAATTGGTACTATTCTGGGTGTTCTGGAAAGTACCCCAGAGTGAATCCCGTTGCACTGGTACTCTTGCCATAGGGAGTACATTACATTATATAATTACTCAGAGTTATATAATTACTTCCATCGATAAGACCGCATATTGTATCACCACTACTTTTTTATTTAATTGTATTGTATTTGTTTCCGTTTTGGTGTACAATAAAGACTTTTTGTGTTGTATTGTATTATTATCATTGTCATTATAAAATGTGAATGTCTATAGAATTTAAAACATAAAGAGATAACTGTAGAAAGTGCTAAAAGAATAAACGGGCATGTAATATGAAGGGATAGATGGGAGCGGAAGAGGCGAAGGAGGTTTTTCAGGAGTATAGCAGGTGGTCACTGGTCTCTGCCTACCTTTGTGGTAGGCGGACGTGATGGTATATGTATGTAAAAACAGAACGTAGAAAACTTACTTGATTGATAAAATAAGTGTTATCCAAATTATCTGTGAAATCCATGACTCTCGCAATATATAAAAAAATATAACACGTGAAACATAAACAAAATTAAAACATGATCACATTTTAAAATTACATTACGTTAAAACAAAACTAGAAAATGCGGCTGACGACATTGTTTGGTCGACACTAAAGTCTGTTTAATGATATAGACAAAATCAAACAGGTGTGTAAATAAGACGTCACGTACGACGCAAAATCATTGACATTGAGACACATTTTATTAATTCAGTAATAATAATTCTTAATCAAATTAACAAGTACAGTCGATACACTAAAACACTTGGGTCTTCTCACATTGTCCGTCCAACATCCGTTCGAGGCAATATTTATATTTTATATATTTTAATTTTTATGTCATGTACATTTGGCAGCAATACCACTCGCAAGAGGAGAAATAAGATATCGTGATGAGACCTGTATGTCCAAGAAAGTTTACACCCCGCATTGTGCTATTGGGCCATTGGCGGGTTGCTTTCTAAACCTGCTCACAAGAGGCCCGTATGTAGCAGTCAGACGTGTAATCGACGATGATGTTTTTATATTTATTTGTTATAAAACAAAACCTTATAACTAATTACAATCTAGCCATTACACAAAACTAACAAGCAATTTTAATTTTACACAATTTCCTAAAATAAAAATAACGTATATAAAGAAATTGCCAATCTGACAAACAATCTTAAGGGGAAGATACTTTGCTTCTTCTTCATGTCTAGTTAACACTGGCACTAATATTTATAAAAACATTAAACACTGACATTAAACATTCTGGTAAAATATTCTGACATTCAATACAAATTTAATTAGAGTTATTAGTGACATCTCTAGCCAGGGCTGGTAGCTGTAAAGTACCTAACTGAGTGACGAAATACTTTCATAGATTTCTCATAGATACGCTACGGCTAAAGAGTCATTGAAAACTAAATACAAAGATCCGACAACAAGCACATAGAAGAATCGGCTTAGTTGGCATAGCATCTGGCATGGTTTGCTAGGAAACGTTGGTCCGAATACGGCCGGATCGAAGGAATTTTTTCTAAGTGTTCGATATACATTTACTACATTTTAAGATTTTAGTTCTTTGTTATCTACGCACTATATTTGTATTGTCTAGTAAATGTATAGCCTCTATGTTCACGTGATGATGATGTGTATCGTAGGACAACGTAATAAATTCCTTAATAACACCAATTACATAAGTTTTAATATACATACCAGCAACCCTGTACGCAAAAGGAAGTACTGCCGTCTATTTTCATACAAAGTCGGAAGCAATAAAGGAGCCCCGACGAAACCAATTCCACGTTTACTTGCTCAGCTTCACTTTGATCGCGTTCCAGACTAAAATCTCTTAACTTTAAATGTTTTAGCTTCGTCTTTTACCTATCGTACACTTATTATAAGATAATAACTATTGTTATAATAGGTCGTTAAGAAGGTATGGTAATAATTACATTTCTTCATCGTCAATGCACTATTTATGTGCAACTACGAGACATAGGTTATTGACATAGGTTGAGGACCTCGGACTGGTTCGAAACATGAGCAAAATCTTAATAAAAAAAGTTATACGTACGTGAGTTATCGTAGGAGTAAGAAATAACTTGACTCATCTTATTCTCCATCGATCAATGGCATGTATCGACTATAGTTTGGTAGATGTAGTAACACCTTTAGATATTAATGTCGTTATTAAAATAAGCTGACTCAGGAATTTGAATCGGTAACCTCTCAATTTAAAAGGAACCGTTTTCCCACTAAGTTTCAACCGCTCTAAATAAATTAAATTTACACAGAGTGAACTCTGTAATTATTCTCAACAACACTGTGGCTTATGTAGAACTGGCCTTAAACATTACGGAACTCATTAAATTTGGGTGTGGTAGTTGGGTTTTGAGAAATACATATGTTTTCCTTCAATGTTACGCTTATAAAAGCTATACTCTAGATATATCGTGTTAATTGATTGTTTGCTTTGTTGTTGCAGGGCTGCTATCATGGGACAGCAACGAGCACCAGGTCGATCTGGAAAAGGAGCTGGCCACCCTCACGGCGCAGGCACCCGAGGGGGAGGAGGCCAGATGTGGTATGTACTTTCTCGATTAACTTTAGCAAGTAACTGTTGGAAAAAAACGAAATTTTTGTACATCTTTATTGTAGATAACAAGAAGTTATTAAAAGGGAGCAGAGGAAAAATTCCTAATCTTCGATTTGATTTTACAGGGCTATATCCATTTTAAAGTTAAAAATACAATATTGTATGAGTAACTACACGATATATTCAAGCATAGACATTAATCAGAAACATAAAACAATAAAATTTCCTCGATAGATAAAAATCACGAAATGACCTCTAATTTTCACATTTTTTCGATTTATCCTCGAAATGCTACAGGACAAAATTTAGATAATTAATTATATTTATGCATGATCGACAACTGTCACTACAGATTTTTTTAAATCTCTTTAGTTTTAGAGTTATTCCACTAAAACGAATTTGGTACTTTTAATGCGCAAAATTCAATATCTCCTGTCGCATGTCACGCGAACTTCAGACATAATATGTATATGTATTTGTTTCACAAATTTGGGCGGAACCAACGTCAAAACTTTTTTGGTATACTCCCTCTTAAGTAATCAAATAAAAGCATAGTATAAATCTTAATTAGATGTACGAAATGTTAACAAAGGGGATAAAAGATAAAAAAAACATTTTGAATGGTAGTTTCCTATTTCTGACAATAATAAATGTTTAGAGTTTTTTCCAAGCTTAATCTGATAACTTAAAAAAAACTTTACTTAATTTTGTCTAATACGATAATTATAATAATAACCATTGTCTAAGGTCGTAAATAATTTTATGGCACTGGTAACAAAATGGGGATCAAATGAATACTGTACAAAAATTATTTTTGTTATATTTGTTACCTATATTATATAATTAATTTTGTTCTATTACTATGCTTTTATTATTTTAATTTTTATTACTTTCTTTGTTTATTGTCTCTAATATTTCAACTGAAAAGGAATTGTATCCATGGTCACGAAATAGATTTTAAAAAACAAAAATATTTTGCGTGCCGCCAGTTTGTTGTGTTCTAGATATTCGAGCTTCCTTTTCGAATCCAAGTGTTTTCTCTTCGTAGTACGTTTGTTAAATTATTGTGTGAGTAAATATCGGTAAAGTTTTTCTTTATTTTGTAATAAATAATTAAAGAAAATGAAAATCTCCATCCTTTAAAAATAGAAGGTTTAGCACACCTGCTACTTTGACAATGACATTTCTTTGTTTACATTTTGGACATCTAATTATGATTCATGCTATAATTGAATTAAATAATTAATAACTGAGTAATGTACAATACAAAATTTTATTGTAAGACCTTTTCTATTGTACATGTGCAATATGAGATAAATAAATAAATAAAAGTAGTATATAAATATATAGCCGGTACAACAACCCATTGTTCTTTCCTCTGTTGCAGCGACAACTCTTGCGTTAAAACATTCACAAACGAACGTAACTTACAAATTTGCAAATTACAAAAAGAAATAATAAAGTTATAGGTACATGCCGACCTTATAATTGAGAAGCAACCTCTCCCAATAGACTACCCTAGCCGAGAAATATATCAAAAGATGTGTATATCATTAAATGTAACATAAATAACGTTTCCGTCTCCAGAAACTTTTCGGGGAATACAGTGTTGCGCTAGGGAGACGATATCGACACAAATTGCCAATAACTGTGCCCTTGATTGCCCTAAAGGTGATTATAGGCACTAAAAATATATACGTATATAATATATATTTGTTGAAGACTTCGAGAGGTTTGTTGCCGAGAACACCGTCCATTATCATTAACGTTTATTCACTTTATAGGCAATGTATCCGCTTCTATAATAAGAATCCGGTTAATATTCAATTGCCAGTCACGAGGTTCAAAACCACAGAACAATAAATACAGGAGAACTGTTTACTTTGCGTAGCACAGTCCGCCATTTTTGCTTTATACTTTATGGTCGAGCACAACCTCAAAAATCGTAGAAAAATGCCTTACTTCGCTTCTTTGGAGTGCAAAAATGATAGAACCACTTGTAATCTATCTATCGTTTCGTATTATATTTAAGTTTAATAATTTTAGGTGATGAATAGTCTACAATATACTCAGCGTTATGACATTATAGTTAGCATTTTTAGAAGTAGTAGAGCTGCTTGTGATGGAGTTCGTCCAGAGAAGTACTGCTAGCTTACCTAAATAGATAGTAGAAATCTACCGCCATGCTGATGAGCATTGCTGCGTTCTGGTTTGGAAGGGTGCTGATGAAATTACAGGCACATGGGACTTGCTGATTTATCTCTGACTGGCATTGCAACTGTTCTGGACCGGCGTGCCGCTTACCACCAGGCGCATGATTTGTTCATCGCGTCACTTAGTACCATAAAAAAACGTTATATCACTGACTTACCATTCATTCACACAAAGTGCTTTCCTTCATGCTCCCTGAAGCATATCGCCAGGGAATGGAATTTACTGCCGGCATCTGTGTTTCCTGAGAGTTACAATTAAAGGCCATTGAAAACTAGATTGAATAGATATTTATTCGTTTGTATATTAATTTGGATATCTATCTCTAGACTCTCACCTCTCCGTATTCAGGGACTCAAGTTTAAGAACCATCGAACAACACGTGTTGCATCGATTTGGACCGGTTTCTGCATTTGTACTGGCAGCGACACACACTACACTTTTTTTGTACCTTTCTTCACATTCACTTTTTTATATCGTTGACTGATTTCTTTGAAACTTGGCAAACAGATAGGTTGAAGTCGGTTTTTTCTATAAAAAAAGTTATATTTCTTATGTGTAGAGGACTAAATAAACTGCCTCCATGCCTGTCACGCAGAGGTCCTGGGTTCGATTCCCAGGGCGGGAGAAATATTTGTATGGCCATCATTGTATATGCTTACAATTATTTTTTTCGTGAATTTAGGTGTAATTTGTGGCTGTCTATGTCTGTATTCATAGCACCCGCGATACAGACTTTCCCTAGTGTGGCTATGAGTGTGTATGTTATTATTATTACTTAATGAATAGTGTTTTCTATGTGGAATATCGTTTGCCAATTTACATTATTAATAATAATCTTTCCCATTGCAACTAGTTTTATTGCACCTGATGGCAGTAATCTCCATATGTAGTCGCTACAGCAACCGGAGATGATACCCACAAAGTATAATATCCTCTCGAAATATAATTAAATTGCCGAAGGCCTTTACATGTTAGACCCATGTCACTATGCGAGCCTTCCAAAAAACCGGATCCCTCTGGGCCGAGATATTCTAAAACAGATTAAAAGCAATAAATCATAGAGACTAAACATTTACTTCTGACCCTTAAACTATCTATGTCAGGAGTTCGTCCCCAAATATAACACAATTAAAATAGTGCTGTAAACAAAGGCTAATTTTGTTTAGCAAATACAAAGTTAAATATGGAATAGTAAAACAAAAGATAGTCAATGACCACTATCCATAGATCCTCTCCAACGTGAAAAGCACACTGTTCGATATTTTATAATATCAAGTGAAGGGGCGAACAAGGTATGTACCTGATGGTAAGCTACTGTCCATAACAGTTGCACTCAGAGCTTTAAGTCGCAAAGATCTGAGTGGCACTGCCACTGCACCCGTCACCCTGAGACATAAGTTGACAAGTCCCATGCGACTGTAATTTCACCAGCACCCTTCAAACGCGGAACGCAGTGACGCTCAACATTACAGCTTGTCGGCAGAAACAGATATGGTGACAGTACTTCCCTGGACAAGCTCAAAGAAGTTCTACAGCTACTATATTAACAAATAGTTATGCCACACTTTTACGTCCTTATTCGCGTCGTCGATTTCAATTATTACCATGATACACACGTATGTACATGTCATAGATCAGTCGATGTATCAGTGGCTCCAGTGAAGAAGGGAATAACTCAAAATCTTTTCAGGAGAGGCAAAAAACCATAATTTTATTGATTATTGCTTCTTCGCATTTATTATTTGCACTTTTTATAATTTCTAGCTTTAGGTATACATCTAAGCTTTCGTTTCATGGGTATTTGTTAAATATTCAGTCATATTTTCTATATTTTTTAAGTTTTTTTCGAGTTGCGTCCTTTGTTTATGAATGCTTAACAGTAATAATACGACTTATGTTAACAAACTTCGACATAATTCGACTTGTTCCCTTAACTGCGACTTTTCTATATTAACCACAATGATAAAAGACATAAAATCGTTAAAGGAATAAAACGACAAGTTTTCTGTTGCGAACTATCAACCAATAGCAACACGGTATAGTCACGGGTATGACCAATCCTGTTCAGTGGAACAAACGGAATGGTCAGTTATACCTTTATGTACACTGTGGAATAAGGCAATAATTGATTTGAGTGCTACTTTTTTCCCAGTTATGATGACTGGAACAATACGAAAAATGTCTTTATGTAATAAAATATATCTGTACTTATTCGTTAAACTTGCATGTATTTTTGAGTTGAGAGCACTTGTACCTTTATACTCATAAAATATGCCCGATAACTAAAACTATACCTTTAAAAACAGTAAGTTATGCCCTTAGTGCAATAAGAAAAACGACGTTAGGAGGCTGGTAGAGAGATGTCCTATATTATGTAATTGGACACGCTGAAGTCAATGGTGCAATAAAAACAATAAAACATAACTCGTCTTATTCCGTTTTTCACTGGAGGCTCTAATATTTTGACACCGATTCTCGATTTCACTAAACGTGTCCATCACTGATTCATGAAGTTTGACATATATGTTACAATATTATAATAAAAACCTTAAAACAAGGCGACCTCTATGGTGGAATAACGTTGCTTGAATGGAATAATGGTGTCGCCATCTCTGAGGTACCGATTTGGATCCGCGGCCGGGTTAGTGTAGAAACTAATTTTTCTATATTGTCTCAGGTCTGGTGTGTTTGTGATATTGTCGTTGTTGCCAATTTCCATAATACAAGTGTTTTAGCTACTTACTTTGAGATCAGAGCAACAAAATGTGTTGTTG